CAGCACCGACTCATAAATCGATCTTCACCATTATTGCTCCATGACAACGCGAGACCTAAAACAGCACGAAAAACTGTTTTGACCCTTCAGGAACTGCAGTTAGAAACCATTCGTCATCCTCCGTATTCGCTAGACTAGACCTTGTGCTAACGGACTACCATTTTTTTCGTGATTTGGACAATTATCTACGTGACAAGAAGTTTTCTTCCCAGGGTGCAGTACAAAATGCTTTGACACAGTTTTTGCAGTCCAGATCCTCAGAGTTCTATCGCAAAGGTATAAATGACCTTCCTATTAGATGGCAGCAATGTATAGATAATAATGGTAACTGTTTTGATTAAATAAATTGGTTAAAAATTAAAAATAAATAATTTTGATTTTCAGTACAAATCGATAATTTCATACTTAAACCCCTATTATTATGAAGAGTAAAGATTGAATAGGCTCTGATATTACTTGACCAATTATAAAATTTCTAAAATTATTATTTAATTCGGTATTCCCGGAGAATTGACAGTTAATTAGTTAGCTGACTTTTGTTCAGTCAAATCAGCCCATTCGATTTAAGGGCTATAGCCCTCTTGATCTGATAAATTTTGAGAAAGTTTGGGACAATAATTATATTTTAAAAGTAATATTGTAATGAAGAAAACAAAACAATATAAAAGATCATCGACATGTCAACAGCACTACGCCACCTGTTGAACGGCTGGCGGTAATTTTCGCCGTTTGGCGAGGGAGGGCGGAAAGAAAATTGCTCTCAAATAGAGGGTAAACTCTCTCATTTAACGTTTATTGTTTTCACACCAAATATTATTATATAAAAGGGATTTTTGTAATATTAGCAAGCAATTTTTTGTGAGTGGTTATTCGATAATTCTAACTGATATTTTTTGGAAAAACAATTCAAAAACGACAATTTAAAAATGCCTGAGAACGGATTCGAGCCCGTCAACATTAATCCAACCAGAGAGCTCCCGAGACCTTATGGTTCAGTTACACTGGTCAATGACGACCGCGTTAATTTCTTTGTCACTTTCATTGGTCCGTCATTGTTTTACTAATCAATGAGATGAGTAGCGCGTGCGGCCCTGTCGACCAAACGAGACTGTCGAATTCTCAGACATTTGCAGCTAGTGAGCTCATTTCGATCAATGTCCAGGCAAGCGACGACAAAGACATATGTAGCTTTATTTTCGTGTCTCGTATGCATTATTTTTATTGACATTACCAGAGACAAAAAGTAATAAAAAATAAATTGGTCATAACCAAACCTCTTTCAAAGTACCGTATTTGAAATCCACGTTGAATTTTAATTCAAAAATTGAACACTCAAAATGTACCAGACATATTCTATCAAGTTGTCAACGCACGACTTTATTGAGTGTATCGAATCGAATATTTCTAGGATCATTTTCTCGGTTGACCTCCAACATTTATCATCTTTCTCTCGTCAATACACCTCGGTGGTTATTTAAAATTGGCTAGCGACAATGCAAGATGGCATTTGAATAGAGTGATTTACGTTCTTTGAATATTTTCGTTATAATAAAAATTATCGACATTGCCTAATATTTTAAAAGATGTCAAATTCTTTTTTTATAAAAAGGGCTAAACGACCTAATGTATACGAGGTAGTTTAGCTTTAGCAAGAGAGTAAACCGAATAATGGGTTTAGCGCCGTGTGTTATACTCAACTTTTTACTTTGGTTACAAAAAATAAAACTATAAATTACGGTTAAGTACCTTCCAACTTGTCTCACTGCTTTATTTCTATTTTAAAAAAATAATATATTATGAAACAAAAGTCGTGTCTTAATTAACGAGCATTTTACCTATGGATAAAGACTTCTGTTGGCTCTTTGGTCACAGATACAACATAATAAAAAATTAGTTTTCTTCTAGAACAGAAAACGCAATTTTCACCTCAATTAAGTACGTAATAAAGAAGGACTTGTTGAATAAAGAGAATTGAAAAATATGATCACTAAAGACTTTTTTGAATTTGCAATTATTAAAATAAATTAACTTAAAACTAAAGTTAATTAATATTCACGTCCAACTATTAATATAAACGTCATATTTTGATTTTTGCTTTTATAATGCTATAATGAGATTTATCTAAAAATATTTCTAAATATTCAAAACTCAACAAGCAGAATCAACATGGCGTTGATGAACGGCATTATTATGAAGAAAACTGCATTTGTCATTTGTCTTTTTAAGGACGCTTGATAAAAAACATTGATCCGCTCATTTGCTAAAATTTTATAACAAAGTTCATGATTTTAAAACACTAATCAAAGAGCAGAATATTAATAGGTTGTGGATATGGACAGTGCGACATAAGTCGGTAAGTACTTACGATTGAGTATCAGAGTTCTATCGCGTGTACTCTATGGACAATATAATTTTTATTATTGTTATTTGTGTCGCTTATTTTTAAATATTTCACTAAACCGTTCGATTAATCCCTCGCTTTAGAATAGTTCATAGAAATATATTTTATGCGTAGTACAGTACAAACAAAGTCGCTTCCTGCTTTCTGTACGTTGAGATATTTTAAACCTACAGACTGATTCAAGTGGAAGATTTATATGTATTATTCAGTATCATACAGGCGAAGCCTCTGACGAAACACTAGTTCAGGCATAAAGATTAAGGTTAAGGCATTCAGTTAAGTTACATAACCTCCTCCCCATTATTTTTGCAAAGCATTTAATAATGCCGGCGTCGCTTCCCGTCCTCTTTCTTAATATTTATCAGCAACCTGTCATGTCTACTGTCTAGTCAAAAAAATTACGTTTTACTTTTGATTTACTGTTCAAAATATGGAGGCAATAACCGTCTTAAATCGTTATTTATGACGTTATTCACTTTCAATAATAAAAATTCAGCAGCAAGTATATACACCTCTATTGCGAAACAAATTGAAAGTAGGTAATGATTTAAGATTTCTCAAATGATCTTGTTAAATAGATTATAAGATTAAAGTAGTTAAATAGATAATAATATAGGGGAATGCTCGTTTGGGGATCTAAGTGGGTATAAGAGTAGATTAAGACATGTGTACTTACTTATAAAATGAGTGACACAACACAAAAACAAAATGTTTAACATAAACTTAAGACGCTATGGAGTGGGCCGTGTGCATTCTCCTTTACCCTTTTTAGATATATTAAAATTAATATTGTTGATAATATTATACTACTTTTATATATTATTAGCTATACAAAACTGTCAATTGTCTCGTGACGTGCAGCCGTGTGTACATATTATCAATAAAGAGATAAAAATCAAATGCGATTTAAAAACTTAAACATACAAAATCATCGATTAAATATAAATTAATACTAATATTATAAAGAGGTAAAGTCCAAACTTTGTTTGTTTGTTTTTAAGGGGTAAATTTAGGAAATACTTATCCGAACATGAAAATTCTTTAAACTAAGGGAAGCTACGTGATGCGCGGGTGACATAGGCTATAATTTACGTGGGTAAAGTAAGAGACCTAGTAAATATTTCAGAATAGCAGAGCTGGTCCACGTTACGTCATAGGCCAAAATTAATTTGTAAATTGATCACCCTTTTAACTAATTTCGTCGAAGAGCTTAACTAATATGACATAGTCGCCATATTGGAAACAGAGGTCGTCAGTGATGTAAACAATTGCCACGAGTGAGAGTCTAATTTTATAAAGTTATGAAGCAAAATTATTTTGTAATTTCCTTCGAGTTCAAATTTTAGCAAACGATTTGATTTCATTGTACTATATAAATCATTCTGTGCTTACATATACTCAAATATGTATTATATTCTGTTTTTTATTTGTTGTTATAACAACATCAGAAATACATCATCTTTAGTATTTTAACTGCATAGTTTCATAAGATATAGCCTGATGATAGACAGACGGGCGGATATCTAAGTCTTACACTCGTATCTATAGTCGAGAGAAGTTATTTGAAGTAAAAGAAGAAGTTACTGGAGAATATGTCATAACTTAAGCAAATATTTAACCAAATAAACAAGAGTCTGAATGGAGTAGAAAAAGTCAGAATACTATTATTATTAGCTATGAACAGTTCTTACTTCAGTCAAATTCCCATCCGTTAAAAGTCTTTGCTTTAGTTATGACATTTTCTAGAGCAATTACTTTCACTCAACAATAGACATTAGTATAACTAATAGAGTCCCGCTTTTTTATCCTTTGTGTTTGGAGCAATAAAATTGATAGGAAAATTTTTAATTTCTAATTTTATCTTAACTATTTTAGTGAAAGTTTCTTTCATTAAAACAGTTAAGTTGAAATTATATCTTTTAAGATATTGGTAACTGATTTTTAGCACACGATATATAGTTGTATGCTTATGTATGTTGAAAACGAAAATAGCATTGTAATTATGCAATTTTATCAATGCCACAAAGATTATTTATTATCAATGTTTACCATGAACTTTATCAACGTTTGCAGATAAAATAATAATCCTTTAATTGGTTATTAATGGTTTAATCGTCTGCTTTTACTGCTTATGTGACGTAATTGCAAGCTTATATTTAAATCAGATTTGTTAACAGTTGAAGGGGATTTATCGTTTTATATATAGAACGAGCTTCCATACTACAGTTTAAGCTATCGATTTTGTACATAAGTGTACAATAATAGTAGAAGAGTAAGTAATTGAAATCACGCACCGAGTATTCCATATTAGTATAATTTCAGGTTTTAACTATATATTCAAACAGGGTTTCCTGTAATTAATAATAAAATTACTCTTTCGGAGAGACCGAGAGCCAGACAGTAATGAAACACTAATAATAGGGGGATAAATTGTGCCTAACCAAAACTTATATCGAAACATATAGCAATGTTCCTTAAATATTAGATAGATTACATACATTGCTGAGATCCCAAGAATTCAATGGAAATCTGGAAAATATGAATATTTTCCAGATTCTCAGAACTTTCATTTTCTGTGTCCCGAACGGGAAACGAGACCTCAGATATAGCAACACTTTGATTGAAATCAGCGTGTGCGCCACACGGAGTTTGCCATTATCATTTGTAGAAGTACTATCCTGCTTTTTTTTATCTAAATACCGTATTTAGAAACCTATAAACGTCATTTTAACATTTTTTTTAAGTAAACGAAAATATTGAGATTATTTTTAATTCACGACTCTGTCACCGTCATGAGGCTATGAAATAGATAAAAATATAAACTGAAAAATTAAACCCTAAAAAGTTTTAGAATTGCAGCCAAACTTTTGTTCCGAATAGCAATTTTTAAAATAACCTAAATATTATTTTCTTTGCCCTTAGTCACGATGCGCCTACTCTTACCAGCCATCTTGTTTGTGTCCGCCATCTTGTCGTGTGCGACGCAGGCACAGTACCCGCGCCCACGTCGCCCCGAACGCTTCGATACAGCTGAGCAGATCTCCAACTATTTGAAGGAGTTACAAGAATACTACTCGGTACATGGCCGAGGAAGGTGCTTATTTTTTATTTGATTAACTAAACTCAGATACATGTCGCTGTGGCTGAACCTGATATGCTCTCATGGAAAATTTTAGATATAAGTAGGATTACCTTTGTAGTAATGCCTTTACTGAAAGACAGCCACATTACGAATAATCAAAATTTCGATTCCCAAACATGTTACTATAAAAACTCTACATCTATATCGAAAGATTTGCAACTCGTGTTCAAAGAGTCTATGCTTCAAAAATTATATACGTATCGTTTAGTTCAAAAACATCAATAGAGATGGCGCATATTACTGTAATACATACTAATGTCATTTTCTTTTTACAGGTATGGAAAGAGGCAAATGCATATAGCCGATGCATCAGTAATCTTCAGAGAAACGCCTTTCATAGACCACACTATAAACGAAGAAGCGCTCTTTAAAAATCTTGGATATAAGTAAAAATACAAATTGAAAAAAGAACGTATAACGCAAAATCGGAAAATAACCTAAAATTTTCCTATTAAACTAACTTACTTAATATTTATTGAAAGCTCAAACTATTTTATACTTAGTAAAGAAATGGCAGCAATTAGCAACAATATGGATTATTAAATCTTTACAAATATCTCATGATATGCAATCATATTACACAAAAGCTTTCTTTTGTACACACGGCAACACTTCAAGTTACTACAACGTGTCAAAATTTCACAATTGATTTTGAACTCTACCTCGACGCACTTACGTGACGACGTACTTCAAATTTGTAAAAGCTGACTTGCTCTTGACTGTACTTTATATATTTTTTGCATTTCGTTACTTTCCATAGATGTACCAAAATGATAATATGCCAGTATATTACTGTTGATTATGCAATAAAATTTACAATCCCTTTATTTTAATGATTCCGGGATAAAGAGTAATATCATTAATAGCGAATTTATTTATTTAATTAAGCAAGTACATATATTTTTTGCAATTAAATAGGCAAAAAAAAAATTAATCATAATTGATTATCAAATTTTCAAAATGCTTGCTAGGCATTTTGACATATTGTTGCTAACTTGTTTACTTGAAACCAAAAAATACAATTCTAGTAGTCAATTGAACATTAAAATCTAGTCAATTAATTACATTTCTCTTTAAACTTTACTTTATCCTTAATAGTTTTTAGGCTGGGTAAAAACTATTTTAAGGAAATCTGTTACCTCTACACAAACTTAAAGTAAATATGATTGTAATGATAAAATGGTTTTAGATTAAAAGTGATTTATTGGAAAGTTTGTTTTATTTATGCATCTACTTCTACTTGTATTATGTTATAGAACAAAATACAAAAATCTAAAGTTTCAAGTGTCTAAAAGGAGCACTTATCTTTAAGATTGCAATCCAGGCTACTGGTCTGAACAATTGAATTACCCGACATTAAAATCTAGTCAATTTATTTACTACCAGTGAACGCATTTCCATCAATGTTCGGTAATCTACTAGGGTCTAGGGCCCTTATTATATTAATTTTAATGTAATAATCGCATCTCAATAGAGTCTCAACTACTTTCATTTTGCCATTGTAATATCTACCAGCATAGTGACTAACTCTTCAGTCTTAAGGCCCTCTTGTAACTCCGTTTCGTTTCCATACAAATATGCAAACAAATACACTTATAAAATAAATTGTGATCAAAAGATTATATGAAACCTATTTTTGTTTTTATGAAAAAACCTATTTTAGCCTATCTTAGCGATTTTTTTCTATCGAGCCGATTATTGAAATTTATGTTTCTGCTTTGAACAATTTTGCATTCACAATGCTATATTGAAAAGATGAATCTACTTCAACTTAAAATCCACTTTGTTCCGTCTCAGAGTGCGATCAATGTTTAATTTTCATAAAAGAATTTTTATTTGCCAAATATTAGAATAGCCTTTGAATAAATATGGTTCAAAAAGTGTAATTTCGTACAATATCGCCTTAATCAACCTTCAATTGTCTCCACTGCTGAGGCGCTGGCCTACCTATTAACCTTCACATTCACACAGAACTGTTAAACGTTCGGCAGGCATGTCTGCAAATTTGTCTGCGTGTCCGTCTAGTGAATTTCCCGTTTTAATAAATTCATGTATTTAGTACGTTGTCAAGTCAAAGTCAAAATAATCTTTATTCAAATAGATACATGATTTTATTACCATCACGTGGATCCAGTGTGTATTGGTACTAAAACTGATAGGAATAGGCAATGCTACAACAGAGACAAGACACGGAGATTTCCTTAGAACTATATTTTTATCCGGGATATCTGTCCCCAAATTTATTATTTCTTTATAAAACTTTCACGTTTATAATATTAGTAAGTGGCCTATCCACTTACTATTAGAGATTTATATGATCTATGCCTACATCTCCGAGAGAAAGGCGTGATTTATACGTCTGATGTAGATTTTTTAATACTCTTTAACGTATTAATCATATTATAATAATAATAATAATTTATTGTCACACCATTTTACAGTTACAATTTTAATATAAAATTTACAAATAAAATATAACACGATGATGTAGCAATTGGCGGTCTTATCGCTAACAGCGATTTCTACCAGACAACCTTTGGATGGAGAAGAATGAATAGCAGTTATGAAAAAACGGAGGTGTAGAGTAAAAGTACGTAAATTCAAGAAAATAAGTAACATTTAGTAAAGATACATTAATACTTATAAGATACATAAATTTTGAAAATATATACATAAACACAAATAATATATACATACATAAGATATATACTAATAATATACTTTAGTGAAACGAGGAAGGGTTTTAGCAACATAGAATTACAAAGAGAAATAATGATTTTTTACCAGTTCTTTGAAGATAGTGATTGCTTGTGCCTGTCTTATGGAAGCCGGAAGAGCATTCCAAAGGCGAACAGCTTGGACGGTAAAGGAGCCATCATAAAAGGTAGTGTTATGGAGAGGAGTTTCAAGTTTCAGGTTTTCCGATGATCTCAAAGAATGTGTAGTGGAACAGTATAGAGGATTAAATCGTTCTTTCAAGTAGCGCGGGAAACGGGGATTAAACAGAATATTATACAGAAGAGATAACATGTGAGCATTCCGGCGAAGTCGAATAGGAAGCCACTTGAGCTGAGTACGAAATTGAGATATATGATCATATTTACGTAATCCAAATATAAATCTAATACAGAAGTTTTGAAGTCGCTCAAGTTTATTTAGTTGGTCTTCCGTAAGATCAAGATAACAGGTATCAGCGTAGTCAAGTAAAGGAAGCAACAGAGATTGTGCTAGAGCAATTTTAGTGGTAGTCGGCAAAAAATTACGTAACCTCCTTAATGATGCAGCAGAAGCATACAGCTTCCGACTAACAGCTTGCAATTGTGATCCCCAGTTCAGACTCCGATCTATGATTATACCCAAGTTTTTAACAGTATCACTAAAAGGTATGTCAGTACCATCGAAATGAATTTTTGGTAGGAGGTGCCAGTCAAGTTTAGCGATCAGCCTAGAACTACCCACTATGATCGTGTTAGTCTTTGTTGGATTTACTTTAAGTCCAAAAGACTTACTCCATGCTACTATACGTTCTAAATCAATATTAGTGGTATGCACTGCCTCATTTAGCCGTGAAGGAGGGGCTTGACTGTAGATTTGTAGGTCGTCTGCATAAAGGTGGTAGGAAGAAGAAAGGTTCTTAGAAATGTTGTTAATGAAAATTGCGAAAAGAAGAGGAGATAGAACGCCACCTTGTGGGACTCCGGCAGTCGTGTCGCACCAAGAGGAAAACTTCTCGTCAATACGTACTCGTTGCCGGCGTCCGTACAGATAACTGTGAAACCACTCAGTTGCGGATGGAGATATGTTAATAGAGCGCAGAAGGGAGAGTAGGATGTCAAAATTTACAGTGTCAAACGCACAACTGAAGTCTAACAAAGTTAGTACGGTTAAAAGACCATTTTCCATCCCAAATCGGATATCATCGGTGATTTTAATCAATGCAGTTGTGGTACTGTGGCCCACACGAAATTCAGATTGAAAAGGGTTTAAGAGTTCATGACGAGAAAGGAAACAATTCAATTGGTTATGGATAAGACGCTCGAGAACTTTGGATAGGAATGGGAGAATTGAGATAGGTCTAAAGTCAGAAAAAGATTTAGGATGAGGTTTTTTAGGAAGAGGAATAATTTGAGCTTCTTTCCAAGCGGAAGAAAAAACTGATTTGGATAAAGAGTTGTTGAAAATAGAGGAAAGAACAGGAAGTATGAAATCAAGTATAGGTACTAACATGTTGCGACTAATTCCATCAGCACCAACTGCATTGGAATTTATAGATAAAATGCTCTTCTTAACATCACATTCCGTAAACTGAGTAAAAAGAAACGGGGAGTACTCAGGATTTGGTAAAGTAGAAAGTTGTTGAATGGTTCTATTTTTATCCGAGTCGCTAAGATCGGAGAAAGAAGAAAAATGAGAATTGAGAGAATCGATATTAATGTGATGAGGTAAGGAGTCTTGACGTGTTCTACCAATCCCAAGAGATCTGAGGAATCTCCAGACTTTAGCTGGATCATCCTTTTCGACTGAATTATGAATGTGGCGTCGTAAAGCATCCCTACACACCATATTGCAGTGGTTACGAACCTTGCTATATTTCTCTTTGTTGAGATCACTCGGATTACGTTTAAATTTGCTTTTGGCAATGGCTTTTTTATGTATCAAAGATTTTATATCACTATTTAACCATGGTGCCGGAAGGTGTTTAAGTTTGATGAGATGAAAAGGTGCATGGTTATCGTAAAGTTGAGTGACAAGGTTATTAAAAGTAATTATTTGCTCGTCAACTGAGGAAGCGTTGGTCACAGGAGACCAATCAATATTACGAGCATCGTCCATAAAAGAATCTTGATCTATACCACCAAAATTGCGCTGAAGGATGACTTTGGGCTTTAATTTAGGAGGCCTAATTTTATAGGAAAGAAATATTAAATCATGATATGAGAAAATATCGGCTGAACATTGGCCGTGTTTAGAAACATACTGAGTTGAAGAAACTATTATAAAGTCCAGAAGTGACGGGGTCGAGTGAGGAAAACGATGGGTGACTCCAAATGGAAGAATCTGCAGATTTCTAGATCTAAATATAGTGTAGTGTATTATGTAGTGATTGTAACCATTGTGTTATGTTTTGTCTCGTCGCTAAAGTTTAGCTAAAGCAAATCGAATTAGTTATACCAAAATAACATATTTTTTGATAATTTAAGGTTATTCCGAATTTTGGGGCAGATATTCCGGAAAAAAGAAGTCCCAGAAATCTCCGTTTCTCATCTCTATTCTTTTTTTAATAAATTAATAAATATATATCAGACATACATTGCACATATTCCAAAATGAGTCGCTAAAGACCCTGTATTATGGTGTATCTGCCATTGACTGCCTCAGAGATGGGAACACTTTGAAACCGGCAAGGGCAAAACTCGGCTACGGAAGCTTAGGCTAAAAAACACATATTCATTTCATTTCTCATAACAAAATTGAGCAATTGTTTAAAGTATCACCAGAGACAGTACCAAAGAAATTGTACAAAGAGGCTACGTCAAAATTCTAAAGATTATCACGTGATCACATATAAATAAATGGTCTTAATACGTACTTTCTTCTGAAGCACGGAATAGTTGAAGATAG